CGTCGGGCCACCCGGCCTATGAACAGGTCTAGTCACGTCGTGAAAATCCACCACAAAGGGGATTGAGACCCGTCCAACAAAAGATTACAAATAAGTTGTGAATCGCCTTCAATACTTACATGTGAAAATCCAAGTGCAGGCCCTCTCCACGTAGCTGAGGCTTTTACTAGGCATTTAGGGGTGTTCATGGGTCGGGGTTGGGTTGGTTTGAGTCATTTTCTTCAATCGATTCGATCTAATTGATTTATTTATTGACTAAATCGAAACCAAATGATACTGAAGCAAAACCGACTCAAACATGAAGGGTCAGTTTATCAGTTTAGTCGGTTTTTATATATATATATATATTTTAAATTAAAGTTTTTATTTCTAAATATCTATTTATATTTAAGTTTATTTCTTTTTAGCTTTTATGCAAAACCAAAATATATATTTAAATCGATTAGTTTTCTTATGCAAAACTGATTTGTTTGTCAATATATATTTAAATTTATACAAAACCGAATTAAATATTGTACCATTGTATTCTATTTGTAGTGGTTTTAAGTTTTTAGTTTTTATCATGAATAACCAATTTTTTTTCAAAGTTCAAACAAAACACAAATAAAATATATCAACATTTAACATATAGGGTAGGGACTAATTAATACTTACTTAAACATATAAGATCGGTTCAGTTCGGTTTGATTTCGGTTTTCATGTATAAAATGAAAATCAAAATCAAACCGAGTTGTGGGTTTATTTTCTCAGACAAACCACCGATGGTTTTGAAAAACCGACCAACTTGAGTTGGGTCAGGCCTGTTTGTTTGGTTTGACATTTAATGTGAACACCCCTAGTGGCATCAGATGTAAGGGCATGGCTTAGGAAAAAAGAAAATCACCATGATGATCACGAATGATAAAACTCGCACCAGTACAAGAGCTGCTAACCCAATAATAATATGGGTCAACAACACCAACACTATACACGGGAATTAGTCACAGTGGTCACCCATCTAATTGGTTTTCCCAACCCATCCATCCCTTAGTTTACTTGTGTAATAAAGGGAGGGGAAAATTCCCGATTAGTACCATGTACTTTGGGCCTAGTGCCACTTTGCTCCCTGAATTTTAAAACGTGATAATTCATTATCTGAACTTTCAAAACGTGTCAACTTAGTATCTACTATTAACCAGTTGTTAAGAGGCATTTAAAAAGACATAAATGCCCTTCAAGTGTTATCTAATTTTTTTTATCAACCGTCCAAACGTTGATAAAAAGTGAACAGTCCCAAATTCTTACCTCTTCTATTCAAGAAAGTATACCCACTGAGACATCGCCCCAACATTCTTGAATAGAAGAGACAAGTATTTAGGACTGTTCATTTTTTGTCAATATTTAGATGGTTAATAAAAAAAATTAGATGACACTCGAAGGGTATTTGCATCTTTTCAAATGCCACTTAACAACTAGTTAATGGGTTGATTAGCAACAAGTACTAAGATACATTTTGAAAGTTTGAATACTAAATTGTCATGTTTTAAAGTTCAGGGACCAAAGTGACACTAGGCCCAAAGTATAAGGTATTAATCGAGAATTTTCCTTAAAAAGAGGAGCATTGAGGTCCTACTCCTTCCTTGCAATGATGAACAACAATACAGAATATGCTTGTATAAGGGTGCTAGCAAATTTACAATAGAAAAATGAGAGAATAACTTTAAGCTGATTGGGTAAAATGGGGTCTGGTTATCTTTGTATGGCATTCGTTCGAATGGCTAACAAAAGAAAGAGAAGGAATAAAACTAGGGGATGGGTGGCCAGAAACAAATTAAAAGGTGATTCACCGGAATAAAAGAAGGTCCGCATCACCTCCTGATTATGTGCAGTACAGTTTAATAAATATTAATAAAAATCAACCGACAAGTTATATATAGTAGGACCATTTGATTGATTGAAACCTTGATGTCAACCTTAATCCGGATCTTTTCCTACTCTTAGGGCATGTTGGTTTCTTCTTGAAAAATGATTGTTTATTTCTTGTTATCTTTTATTTTTTATCTCTTAAAATGTAATTATATAAGTTTTTGTTTTTTAATGATGCTCCAAAAAGATAAATAAAAACTCTTTCTTTGTATTTAGAGTTCAGAAGAAAGAAAAGTTCACCAATATGAATATATCTCTTAATGTAATTAGTGTACTTTTAGGTGTCAAATTTTAGAGCAAACAAAGAGGCCCTTAGTCTGTCAAGAATATAAATACAAGTATGTACAATGTAAATATAAAATTTTAAACACAAAATAATACAAAATTCAAGGTTTTACACCACATATTTATATTTATACTCTTCCGAAACTAAGCCCTATGTTTTGATTGTTTGCAATACAATTCCATTTTCATTAGTACACAAATGAATAAAAGTGCAAATGAGAAAAATGTAAATTCTGGTCCACTTTTATTTTGGGGGGTTTTATTTTACTTCATCTATAATGCAAACAAACAAGACAAGGCAGAATCTGAAACAAAAACGAATAAGAGACATTATTTGCACTCCCATGCTTTTTCATCAGGCTCAGTTTGGGAAGAGTACAAATGCAAATATGTACAGTGCAAATCATGGTTTTCAAAATCAAACCGGACCGGACGGTTAGACCAAAAAAACCGGGAATCGGTCACCTGATCAGTTCCGTTTTTCCCCAAAACTGTTGATTTTAGTCAGCAAACCGCTGAACCAGCCAATTAACCACTCAAACCGTTTGAATGGTTTTAACTGTTTTTCAATTTTTTATTTTTTTATTTTTTTTTTTGTCAGAATGGGCTGACCGTTCGAATCGATAACCGGACCCCTAACCGGTTCAGTCACTGGTTTGGTTTTTAAAACCGTTGTGCAAATACATATAAAATAATACAAAATATAAGGTTTTACACTATATATATTTACATTTGTACTCCTTCCAAATTGAGCCTCAATGTAAATCATGATTTTTGAACTACCGTTGACCTAGATGGTCGAACTATTTGGCCTGGGAACCGTTTAGGCAACTAGTTCCGTTTTACCCCAAACTCGGTCCCTAGGCAAAAACCGTTGAATCGGTCAATGACCTGTTGACCTGGGCGATCGAATCATCACCCATTCAACTGTTTTTTGCCGTTTTTTTATTTTTGTTGTCAAAACAGGCCATCCATTTAAACTGGACAATCGAATCGTCAACCTAGAAACTGGTGGCCAGAGCGGTTCCACTTTCGGGTCAATTTTTAAAACCATGATGTAAATGAAATAGTAATGCAAACAAACGAGAGGCCCTAGTTAGTTGCAAAACTGAAAGAAATGTTTCAATTGAATATCGTCACGATCACGAGCTATGTTATCCCCCACCCCCAAACATGACTGAGCTCAACCATGATTTTTAACTGTTGTTAACCTGGACGGTCAGACCGTTTGGCATGAAAACCGTCCGGTTCTATTTTACCCCAAATCCGATCCTTGGACAAAAACTGCTGAATCGGTCATTGACCTGTATGATTGAACTGTCGACCTATTAACCCATTCAACTGTTTTCTACCTTTTTTTATTTTTTTAATTTTTGTTATCAGAATAAAAAAATTGCATGAATTATTCGTCGGTAGAAAGAGCAGACGGTAGAGAGAGCCATTAATTATTCGTCCACAAAAAGATTCCATGATCTGTCGATTTCGTAAGCCTTAGAGGTTTGTGAAGCACGTGCATGGATGAGTTAGCCCATTAATCAGATGAAAGATTAAAGATTTTGTGGTCAATGTTTCGGATCATAACAGATGATGACAGACTGGCGTTCGAAATTGTCTTGCGCTTAATTAACCACCTATTACTAATTACTATTACCCTGTTTTGGAAAGAAACAGATAGTGCCCAAAATGCACTCAAATTTCAAACCCACTACGTTGGGATTTGAACCAAATTGAAACTCTCCAAGCCTGAGTCCCTAACCCTCAAAATTGGGGTTCCCAAAAGAGGGACATAGAAGCTACTTGGCGTGTTCACCGTTTGTGGTCCGCTTTAAGAATTTCCACCCGTTGCGGTGACGGCACGTTTTGGTTCCAATCCATAATTCCATACACAAATACACAATACAGATTAACAGAGGGAGAGAGAGGGGGGGTAGAAGAAATTGAATGTGAATGTGTGAATGCGAATTCCCCTGGGCTGGGAGGGTTGAGTAGTGAAGAACTGGCCGTCTAATAAATAAGGGTAGCTAAAGAAGGGCAAGCGAAGTTTGGGTGACTACTCCTTCACATGCGACGGGGGACAAGGGTGGCCATGTAAAACAAAGATTACAAGCAAAGCATTGATGCAAATATTAAATGGTGATGAGAGAGGAACCAGTACCCATCTTTTTTACCAGATAAGACCTCCTCCCTTCATGACGTTTAGTTTTGTTAGGTTAGGAGTTAGGACTTAGGACTTAGGTGGTAATAAAATCAAATCTTCTCCTGCACTAATTAATACCCCTAATCTACACAAAAAATAACGTTTATACAATACATATATACATATTGACCTTAACTGCTAACTGGTAGCTAGCCAATCCAAAGGCCCCAAACCGAAGAGAGAAAATTAATTGTCTGCTCCTGGTTTTTCAAACTTAATTTGTAAATGAACCAGAGTTGTAGGTTTGAATTGGATGGTTGGAAGCTCCAATTTTTATGAACTTGACCGGGCCCCATCCATTGAATGATCCAATGAAGTAGGGGACCATCTCTCTCCCTCCCAATTCCGCAGTAGAGCTACTGTTCCTTTACTTCATGTACAGTTCACACAACTATGTGCTCTTTCTATATATTCTGGATAGTGGGTACCTTTCCTCTTGTCCAATTAACATCACAATTTACTTTATTCAATCAGTTATACAATTTAAATTACATGCATATTACATACTAATTTTCATCTGTTTTGTACATGAATTTAGTACTGATCTGGGAAAGAAAAAAAAAAAAGATAACGAGAATGATAATGACGATGACGATGACGACGACAACAATAATGAAGAAAAACAGTTTGTTGATCACAACTTTAATTTAATTCATTCATCCTAGCATGAATGTTGTTATTAAGATCAACAGCATTTTACCACCACAAATTTCATGAATTGTGCAATATTTTTTGGGTAGTTTGAGTTGAGTCCCTAGTAGTTACATTTTACATATCTCAAACAACAACAATGAAACCCAAAAAGATAAAAACATTGATGAACGAGATTCGGAAATCTTCTAAGCAGTACCTCGGCTAGATGTATGCCCAACCATTGACAGAAAAGTGTTCTTCATGATCACCACAGAGTGGTGGCAACCTCGGAGCCTACCGGTAGCCAGATGACGACCAACGCTACTAAAGCACAGTGTTGAGATCGGAGACCTGGAGCCTCCATCTTCTTCGTAATCCCCGCTTGAATCAAACGATGATATAGGAGTTGAGAATCTGCTGCGTCTACGAAGAAAATTCGATGAGGTCGTCGGAGTCGAAGATGACAACGATGATGACCATGATGACGACGATGATGATGATGATGATGATGATGATGATGATGAAGATGGGGAGGCATGGGTTTTCCTCAGAGAGAGCCTAGGGAATATGATACGTAGAAGGTTGGATCTGGAAGGCTTTTTCGTGGGCCTCTTCTTGGAATTGACATGGTAGGAAGGAGGAGGTGTGAGAGGAGGGAGAGAGGTGTCGCTGAATGTGTATTTAGGCGTACCTGGTTGAGATTCCCACATGAACGGGACTGCACCAGTTGCTCCTCCATAGTAGACTCTGAACGACGATGAGTTAGCCATGGAGCTCTCCTTGGATAGAAGCCTAGTGAAGAACTTGTCATCCTGCTTGATTTGGAGGGACTTTCGGGGAAGATCAGGGCTGGAAGGCAGCATCCTGGGTTTAAGCTAGCTAGGGGGGCAGTTGCCTTTTCTTTAAAAGCTGCTTTTCTGGATCGACTGTAAGATATATAGGTTATATCGTGAAGTTATTCAAGGAGATGAAGAAGAGGAGATACATATAACATACATACACCTTTTAATTAGCAATTAAACTGGAGTGAAGGGAGAAGAGTTTTTCCAGGTCTTTAGTGTACTCCATTAAGTACCCTACCCATTAAGTCATGTATATATGTGTTTAAAAGATTTCCATGCACATTCATTACTGACCTCTGGGATCTCTGTCAATATCATATAACTCCAAACTTTTATTCAATTGGGCTTAAGAAAAATGATGTTAATGATTTCTTTTACCACCCCACATCATTATTTTATTTATTAAGCCTTTTAATGAATTACTAGTTTTATTAATGTAAAATCTAATTATGTCTTTAAATTAAATGTCTCACATGCAACATCTGTCAAGAATATATTCAAGACATATTGTTTAGAGCTTGGTGTGGGCTCCAGACGATCATAGACATTCATATCAACGCATCAAATTGGTTGGGATGTGAGTTGGGGTAATAAATTGGAAAGAAGGAGAACCTGGGTATGGTGGTCCAAGAGTCTAAACGAAAAGATGTTTTCATTGGTGAGGCGGTGAGCTGGAGGCAAGATGACACTTAGGTGCTAAGCTTTAGGGACTCATTAAATTTGGTGGAGTACTGATGTTTCACTATCAACCAAGGGCCAGAAGCCCAGAACCGGCATTGTGCTTCTCATGAGATAAGTTTTAATATATCTATGGTTTATGCCCTTGACAAGTTTTGTTGTTTTTGCTGCAATAAGCCCTTACCAAGTTATTTCTCTTTAATTTAATAAATAAAAAACACTTGAGAACAAAATATCCTACAGCAATTGGTTATGTGCTGATGTTTAGAGAACAGTTTTGCCCATCTATGGTTGATTTCCATATTCTTTTTTAACTTAAAATTTTACTATAAGAGTAAAAAACAAAAATAAAGGCTAAAAATTATAAAGTCTTCCAAGTTCTGTCTTCGGATTATGAGATATGAAGTTTTTTTTTACAATATATTTTTTAGAAGGATTTTTTTACCATATATATATATATATATATAGTTTATTTATTATGGACATTTATGATTTAATCAATACTTTTAAAATAACAAGAGAGGTCCTCCACGTGTTGCAAATCAGTTTGGCTCGAACTTAGGATGTATTTATCCCAAAATGAGTTTGCATGAACATGACAATGAAGAACAAGTACGAGAGGAGATAGGAGAAGGAAGGACAAAACCAATCAATTATTGAGCTTTAAAGACCTCTGTTCGAAACAGTTGGGTTTCTGCCACTGCAACTCTGCCAGTGCCATTGCCAGGAGGTATGGTACCAGCATTGTAGCAAATGCATCAGGGCCTACTAGTAATGGATCGATTTGGATTTGGAGCCCATAAGCCATTTGATCGTGTCGTCGTAAGAAGTACCCAGATTCCGCAAGAATTAATGGTAACGCTAACGATGGAAAGTAATCATCAAGTGAAAACCATATAAGTATGCCAGATCATGCAAGTGTCTCCTCTTGCCACGTGGTGATTTATCACGTGAAGCTCTTCCACAAACACCAGTGCGGCCAATACGATAAAAGCCATTCAATTCGAAATCAAGGATTTTGCAGCCCTCTTCAACCGTCCAGTCTACATCTTTGTCATCATCTATTTTATCAGGATTAGATGCTGATTTTGGGACATCCCGTTTTTAATTAACGTAGCTATATTTTCGGTGAAAAGACACAAGATACCCCTGTATATAACAACAAAACTTAAGTATATAAGGGGCACTTTAAGAATTCTCATTATTGTTATTTATTGGTTATTTGAGCATACCCATGCATAGGCGCATATGCGATGCCCAAGACCACACACCATATGATGCAATATAATGCACTCCACACGGTTTATTTAACATCGTATATACGTCACAGAAAACAAATGGATTGATCCTCTAATCCTGTCGTTACTAATAATAAATAGATAAAAATTAAAATGCGTAGCCAAAGTCTAGAGCATTTTGAGATGCGGATTCATCGGCGCGGAGATCCATGAAACACGTTCGGATCTGCTTGAATCACGTGCACTCTCCCCACTTCCTCTTTGTTACATACAAATACAATCAATTCAATGTTGCTTAGATTGGTAGATTAGATGTAGATGGTTGAGTTGATTATAAATTAATAATAGTTAATAGAGCAGCGTTCCAAGGAAGCAAGGAAGGTGTGGGTGTGTTCAATGTAAAAGCTGCAACGAAGGTAATTAGATTCACCAAAACCCTAGCATTACTTTGACGAGACTTTGGGTTTGAGAGGCAATGAACCGTTTCCTTTGAAACTACACATTCATGACTCGTCACCTGAAATGGCCTTATTTCAATTGTTCATTTGTAAGCTGACATATGAACTATATGTTCTAAAACGAAATTGAACTCCAACTAAGCTCACTAGCTTATTCATGGCGCCATGTGTATATTGTGTGGTGCAGATGGGTAATAAAGTAAATGAAGTAGTGAGAGAAATTTATCGCTAAGTAAAATTTTGACTCGTTTGGATCAAGTTTGATACTGTTGGACGGTGATTCAAAATTTCAATAATTTTACTTTTCTCTTCTTTGTTTTTGTTTTTTTCTCTCTCTTCTCTCCTCTTGCATGTGGATGAGGAGCACATTGAGACAGGTCAGGTCGAAGCATGGGCATGGGTGCAGGTGCGTGTGTTTATGTACGCACACATCTCTTCCTCTATGCGTCTCTTCAGAACAGTGTACAGTGTTTATCAATCCGGTGATACAGAACACACAACACATTCTTTATTGACTGCAATTCTCAGTTTCTTGAACTCTATATCCATACATTCATAACATTGAATTAATTCGAACTGTAATAATCTTCTAACTTGGTACTATATGTAGGCTATATAATGCAAACAATGAAAATGCAAAGATAAGTGACAGGAAAATATTTTCTAAATTGTGTTTTAGTCTCAAACATCTATACAGTGGCGGAGTCAGGAATTTTCTTTTGAGAGGACCAAGTTATATAATTTCTTTTTGGGTTATGGTAAAGAAAACGTTATATTAAATCAATTATGTTATATTATGGTCAAGAAGTAAGAAAATGAGATATCGAGTATCGGAGGTAAGGTTTGGATAGATATAGGGTAGAGGGTTTGGGTCTAATTACAACTTTTCTTTTAAAGAAAAAATAGACAAAACTTTTTATTTTGGGAGTAAAGTGGAGGGGACGGCGTTAGAGAGTTAGAGAGCATTCCTTAACATTTTAATGGGACCTTCATGTTTTGGTGTGTTTGCGTGGGCGGGGGGAGGGCGAAGGACACCCAACCTTTACACTCCATCCCTGCATTAGGTTTGTATCAACCCATTCCCAACCAATGAGAAAAGCTATAAATTCCCAATTCTCTACTACGATTAGCAAAAGACCCTATTAGGGATGATTCTAATAGGGCTGTCAATGGGTCMGGTCTGGCTTGACGGGCCCGATGGACCCAAATAGATTGGGCTGGTTTTAGTTATTAGAACCGACAAGTCAGTTTCAGGTCTTAATATAGTGTCCTGATTATTATTGGTTCCACCAGTCTCAAACCAATTCAGATCCGACCCGATCGATATTCATATAATATATAATATATATCAAATAAATTATATTAAATGTATTTATTTATTTATTATAATCGGGTCCATCGGGTCAGACTCGATTGTCCCAAGAACTTATCAATTCGGTTCTGGGTCTGAAAATTACAGGCCCTACCGGTCCAAATCAGTTTTGGGTCCTCAATATTTGCTATCAGGTCAGTTCCGATTCTAGCTGGTTCTAGCCCATTAACAGCCCTAGATTTTAAATACTAGGAGCCAAAAAAAAAAAAAAAAGAAAGAAAACAAAAATTTATATTTTAGAGGGAAGATTCAAATGCATCAATCTTTCTATCCCTCTTTTTTTGGGAAAGTTTTGGAGGGAGAATTCAAAACAATAAGTCAATAAGCTCCATTCTCCCTTTCACTACTATATTTACAACAACACAGTTTTTGTATGAATGTGTGTAAGCATGTAACAAAAATAAGAAGAAAATACATTGATAAAACTTTTAAATTACACCAAGGGCATTAAAAATACAACGCTTAGAATTCAAACGACCCCTATTTTTTTCATCTGTTTTTAATATATATCTCCGAATTGGTCCCCCACAGACGAGGCCTATGTCTCTTTACTACCATTACTGCACTGAAAAAGTGTGAAAAAGTGATGAAAAGAGGATCTCAACTCAGAGCTCGAACTTACCACGAGGGAATTATTCTTAAAATCGCAGTATATAAAAGGGTATTGTTAGGCTGCATTCCAAGTACAAAGGAAGGAATTCAACGATCGATGGAATAGTTAATTTATACACCTATCACAGGGATTCGTTCTTGTAGGACCATGTGTAAGACTGTAGGATTTAATTTTATCTTCTAATAGTAGTTGTGGAAACCTAGAAGGGATCGAGTTAGGCATATATACAGAATGTACCTTCTAACAACTTCAGTTGTTGTAGAGTAAACTAATAGTTACGTCGTCCATGGCGACGGCCTTCGGTTCTGACATCCCGCCGTGTGTGTGTAGCTCAGTTAGATCATAGATGATCAAAGAAAAATCCCCACAAAGTTTGGTGAAGGCATTGACGTGAAGATATTATAACGTATAGCCAATTAAAAGAAAGAATTGAAAGCCTGGTAAATAAAAGCAAGAGTTGAATAAGCTTACTTCAACTTCATGTCCTCATGTCTAAGGGATGGTTATTTATTTATTGTGCATCCACTGACCAGTATCCATTAATGCCTCAAARTCTGGCTATGTATTAGTATTACCTCGTAGGTTTCATCTATGCATTGAATACGACCGACCTTAAATTATGATTTATGAACTATTTAATTGTTTTCTTTTTCATTTTGTAATAAAATTAAAAAAAAAAAGAAAGAAGAGTGGAAATATAAGAGGGTGGCATTGATTTATGAACTATGCATTGAATACAACCAACGTTCCAAATTTAGATATCTATCGTATCGTATCTTTTAATATATAATACAAGATACAGGAGAAAATCTAAAGTATTATACTTTTTCCATCATAAATAGGGCTGTATC